ATGGTGATATCCATTTGTTCTAAAAATGCATGTAAATGGAGATGCAAAGAACTCGATCTTTCATGCCCTACAATGGTATTTTCTAATTCTTGCGTGAAATCTTACATGTAATGCATCAATTGTGTTCTAATGATGCATATGAATTGTTCTAGTATGTTAGCAATGATTGAAACTGCATGAAATTAAAAATATGAAACTCACCAAACTTACCAACCGACATAGTTTAAAGGAGGTGTTATGGACACAATTTGAGGTGCTTAAGGACTTGGATGGATTCCTAGGCACTTCAGATGATGATGCAATGATTGGTTTCGATTAAAGGAGGCTGCAAATAGGGTTTTGCGATTGCCCTAGTTCTTGTGAATTTTTGTGATTTTTTGGAGTTTGCTTGGAGGCAGTAGTTTGTGGTCCTGAGTGTATGAATATCTTGTGTATTTATAGGACAAGGTATTAGGTCAACAAAACTGAATTGAATCTAAGTCTTTCATGGTGAAATATTTGATTTGGAATTTGTATGAAAAGTTTCCAAATTTGCTTCAATCATGTATCAATTATCTCCACACGGTTTCGTTATAATTGTCACGAAATATTGGGCCTCCATGTGACTGAAATTGAAATCCTATTAATTTGCATTTAAATGAATAAAAATTAAAATAAAAGAAATAAAAATCATAAAAAATGTGTGAATGGTTTTGTTGGTCCCCTAATATGTCATAAACACGTTTGAACTTCAAAATTTAGGCCTATTAGTCCAAAAGCCCAAAATTGTTCAATAGAGGTTTCATGTAATTTCATAAAATTATCCAACCTGTGCAACTCATAACTTGCTAAATTTTTGTCATATGAAGGTGATCATGGATTTTTTGGAAATTTCATGATGTCTCCTACAACTCCCATGTTGGTCATTTTTCTTTTTGGATTTTTTGAAGATTTTAACTTGATGTAAATTGCTTTGACAAAAAGTGTCTTTTTATTGACTTTTAAAATGACATATAATGTTTTGGCCCGTATCTCTCAAATGAAGGATTTTTGGCCTTGAGCTTAGAGAGACAAAGTTGTAGAAAATTGAATTTCCATCATAATGGGATTTGGTTGAGAATTTTCTGATGAAGCATATGAAAGTTATGTTTGGTCAAAGTTTAGTTGACTTCTCCTTAAGAAAACCCTAATTTAGTAACTTTTGACTTTTGATGAATCTTGAGTTTTCTTGATGAATCATGATCAACCCTTGATCAAATGATGAATGTGAGTTCAAAATGTGGATGTTGACCAAAAATCTTGGAGTATGACTGTATGTTGACCATAATTGACTTTTTGTCCAATATAGTTGATTTTCAATCATCTGACCAATTAACTGAGCAAACTTGTGCTGCAAGGCTTGAAATTTTGTATGAGGATACCTTGAAGCATATGAGAAACTATGAAGTCCATCTGAAGCATTAGAATTCCAATTTTATTTGAGAAAACTAAAACCCTAATTGTAGGTCACTGCTTAGGAGGAGGGTTCATCTGATCGATTCTTGAATAGTCTTGAGTACTTAAGAATTTTAGGAGCATGAGACGATGTCTTGAACCAACTTGTCTTAAAAATGGGAGGGTAAATTTTGGGGTACAACAGCAGGTAATAAAAATAACTTTACTTTGTTATTTACTTTGTATTTTGCAACTTAATGTGAATTTTCAAAGAATAACTCTATATTGTTATTTATGTATTGTAGGTATTTGATGATCTGACATAATTAACAGAAGATGATTTGCGACTCCGTTGGGCAAAATGTTTCTTTGAGTTATATAAAAATTAAGCGTTATTTGGTTAGTTATATAGAATTCTCTCTCTCTCTCTCTCTCTCTCTCTCTCTCTCTCTCTCTCTCTCTCTCTCTCTCTCTCTCTCTCTCTCTCTCTCTCTCTCTCTCTCTCTCTATATATATATATATATATATATATATATATATATATATATATATATATATATATATATATATATATATATATATATATATATATATATATATATATATATATATATATATATATATATATATATATATATATATATATATATATATATATATATATATATATATATATATATATATATATATATATATATATATATATATCTTATTTGAGTTTCTTGACTTTGGTGTTGTCTGCTGATGTTAATTGGTGTTATTATTTATTGTCAGCAAATGTGATTTTGGTGTTGTCTACTGAAGCTACAACTCATCTTCTTGTGGATTGCATATTGGTAATTTAAGTGTGGGAAAATACTTATAAATGGTTGAATATTTTTGTATGTTTTCACTGGTTTTGTTGTTGTAGTAGTCCTCCGTGTAAACTTTCTTATAATTTTGTACACTTGTGTGTATCCTTGATTAGTACTTTTATAAATTAATTGTTCATTTTGAAGAATATATATGTGCATCCTAGCTATTTGATGCAATGAAATTAACAGGTGTGTTAGAAAAATATGAAAATAGCGACCTAAATGTGGTATGTGTAATGTTGGAAAAATATGAAAAATAACGACCTAAATGTGGTATGTGTGATGCTGGAAAATATGAAAAATAGCGACCAAAATATGGTTTGTGACTTTGACACAGCGTAATTAGATAGAAATAAGTACTTTCTTTTATTTGTAAATGAGTTCAATAGAATGGCGTGGACCTGTCTAATTAAAACAAAATATGAGATGCTCTAAGTTTTCAAGAAGTTTAAGGTGATGGTAGAAAAACAAACATAATATCAATTCAAGATTCTCTGAAGTGATGGAGGAATGAGTACACTTCAAGAGAATTTGATTTATAGCATGAAGAGAAGGGAAATCATTACGAGATCATAACACCATAACTACCTCAACATAATGGTTCTACTAAGAGGATAAATATGACTATTGTGAACATGACCAGATGCATGTTGTAAGAAAATAATCTTCCACGTAAGTTTTGGGCCAAAGTTGTCACAAATTTTTGTTATTTGTTGAATATGAATCCAACCAAGAGACTAGACATGGTTCCATTGTCAATCTGATCATGCCACACCCCATTTGTCAATAACTTGAGGATATTTAACTCTTTATGTTTCAAATACATCATATACTAAAGAAAGAAGAAGCTTGAAGATAAGATCGAAACAATGATTCTTGTAGGCTACCATACTACAAATTCATATAAGTTATACAACACACCAACCATGAGGATTATTGCAATCATATATGTTAAAACCAATGAAAAGTAATGTTGTAATTGGTAGAGTCAAGATTTTGCCTCATCTTCAAGTGTGCCGTTTATATTTTGTGATGATCAGAGTGAGCTCGAAAGAAGTGTTGCACAACTGAATTAATAAAATTTTAATATAATATGTCTATATGTGAATGATATACTCATTATAGGAGGAAATCACAATAAGATAGAGAATCTCAAATTTAACATGAGCACTAAAATTTATATTACTGACTTAGGTAGCCTAAGTTACTTTATAGACCTTGAATTTTCACGAATCATGTAAGACTTGCTAATTCACTAGAAGAAATACATCAATGATATTCTGAAGATATTTAATATTATGAAATTCAACTCAACGAGTACTTTTAAGAAAATAAATTTAAAATTAAACAAAAATGAATATGACAAAGATATTGAGTACTTTATACAAGTAAATGGCGAATTGTTGAAGTATGATTGCGATTTCATACTAAATATATGTCCTAACGTAGGCGCGTTACAAGTAGTTATGAGGATCATGAAATATCTTAAAGGAAAAAAAATACCATAACATCTCATTTACAAACCCTAATAACCAGAGTGATAAGATGACTAGTTTTTTGTGACTTGGATTGATGCGTAGACAAAGGAGAATGAATAAGTAAAATGTGATATATGGTCAAACTATTCAATTCTTCAATTTCTTAATGTTCCAAAAAAATAAATAGTAGTGGTCCAATTTCTTAATAAAGTTGAATATATCTCAGCCAGTAATATAGTTTGTCAAGGAATGTCACTATAATTTTTGTTGATTGAAATGAAGATAACTAAAGGAGAAGAAATGAAACTAACTATAGATAATAAATCGACAATAGCCTTGCCATTAATCTCATAGCTCATGAGAGGAGCAAATATGTTGAAGCTAAGATTGACTTTTTTACAAATTAAGTAAGTAAAGACGATATTACTTTGATATACTACATAACAAATGGATAGAAAATATTCCAACCAAGTCGTTCAAAATTGAAAAATTCAAACTTATGAGAAGCATGCTTAATATAATAAATTTAAAAACTAAATTTAAAAGGAGTGTTGAAGTGTAATTCAAATCAATAAAGTATTTTTAAGTTACTTGTTACAAACTAACTAACTAACACTTGGTTTTAATGAAGATAAGCCCAACTAATAAAATATAAATTATCATGTTATAATCATTAGTATAATAGGCTCTTTGCCCTTCTTTATATAAGAAAAAATTTAATTTATAAATGAATTGAATAATATTTACATCTAGACCATATAAAGACAATCAATATATAAACAATAAAAGCGAATGTGAAATGCAAGATATGAGGGGGTTTTTTTTCACTTCTATGTGTCGGTATAGTATTATTATGTCAATTTTGTGGATCTCAATAGCATTTTTCTATCAAAACACAATAATTTCATTTTATAAAAATAAAATGAGCACTGTAGTAGTACATTGCAAGTTGTCTGGGATAGATAAAGTATAGTATAAAACATGACAAAACTATCTTGTCCAATACCTACAAACCACTGTATATATATCGAATTTATAATTATATTTTATTCGGATATTACTTGAAGCCAAATTATACTACAGTCCGAAAGAAATATAATCTTATTATTTTGTGGCTATTATAAGTTTACATGTGGTAGCATGAACGCTTAACAATGTGGTTTCCGTGATAGGTCTCGAAACCACAAGCTTACCTTATAAATATCTAAATATATAGCCATTTTATGCACTGCAGAAAAGAACAAGTTTTGAAACGATGGAGCAGAATGGTAACCATCCTAGTCCTAGAAAGAAAAAAGGAGGGCTTGTCACAATGCCCTTTATCTTTGGTAAGCTAGCTACCTTCATATTTTTTTAACATACTTATAAAATCTGGAAATCATGGTTTTGAATTTGATAATTAATTAACCTTAGGTATATTTGATTTTATTTATTTATTTTGCAGCTAATGAGGTTTGTGAGAAGTTAGCTGTGGTGGGTTTCAATACAAACATGATAAGTTACCTAACAAAAGAGCTTCACATGCCATTAACCAAAGCTGCTAACACTCTCACTAACTTTGGTGGAACTGCAAGCTTGACACCATTGCTTGGTGCTTTCATTTCAGATTCTTATGCTGGAAAATTCATGACTATTACCGTTGCTTCCATTATATACCAGATAGTAATTTTCTTTTTCTAACAATATCATCATGTTAAGAGCTTAATTAACATAATTTTAAATACGTAACAAATTTAATTGATGCATTTCTTATATTTTCTTGTAGAAAATACTATTTATATTTGTATAGTATAAAGATTAAATTGAATCTATGAAATGATTTTGGTAATTTATTCAAAAATATTTGGTTGGCTGTAATTTGGGCTTTATGGCTTTTGAGGAATCGGACCATTTCACGAGCCGGGTTTCATATATAGAGAGCAATAGTTCATTATTATATTTGAATTAACTTTTTAACCTAATATAGGTGTATCCTTATATACTTTCAAAATATATTTTGATTATAATTTTTTTTTAAACCAAACATACTTTAATATATGACTTCAGTCATTAGTGTCATATTTTAACCATTAGGGGGTTACGGTGTCAATTGTTTTATAATAAAAAGCTATAAAAAAAATTGTGAGAGGGAGATTTTAATCCATGTCCTTTCGTATCATGATTTTACCTAAGCGTTTGTTAAGTTTTGATTGTTCTCTTATATCCACATATTAGAGATCACTTGATCTATTTTATGTTTCTAACATATTAGTTTTGGCCATTCAAAAGAAAACATAATTAATTATATAGTTGTATAGATGAGTGAGTATATGGAGAGATGTTAGAATTTGAAGACAATCTTTTTTAAAACTATGTGAAAAAAGTGGTAGAATTTGAAAACACCAAAAGTTACTTTGACAAATATTTTGATAGTTGTCAATTTTTGCATAGTTAAAATAGTTTAAGAAAAGAATTATTAATTTAACAAACTAAAATCATGAAAAGTTAAATAATTTCCTTTTTGAAAATAGTATTATATAGGCTTGATAGTATATTTTTTATGTTCTAAGTATTAGACTATAGTGATTTGAATAATTTAGTGGCGAGTTAAATGAAATAGAAGAAGTAATTCAACTACTATGATATGTGATGATGTTTTAAAGTTTAATTTCTAACGATAATATTTATTTGTATTTATTTATTAATTAAATAAATTTTCAATTCAATTTACAATCAAATTTGTGGATTATTTTAGCATATCATGCCATTAAATTTTTCTATATGAATGTAAATGTTTTTGTTGATTGAAGCTGGTTATATTCTAATTAGTGACATTTTTAATAATGACAGGGTATGATTAGTTTGACATTATCAGCTGTACTTTCACAGTTAAGACCACCTCCATGTAAAGGGGAAGAGGTATGCCAAGAAGCTAGTTCAGGACAGTTGGCAATACTCTATGCATCACTTTTTCTAAGTGCATTAGGGTCGGGTGGAATCCGACCCTGCGTTGTTGCATTTGGAGCCGATCAATTTGATGAATTGGATCCAAATCAAAAAACAAAAACGTGGACATATTTTAATTGGTATTATTTTGTGATGGGAACATCTATACTTGTGGCTGTGACTGTTCTTGTTTATATTCAAGATAATGTTGGATGGGGGTGGGGCCTAGGAATCCCCACAGCGGCAATGTTTATCTCAATTATTACATTCATTGGTGGATATAAACTTTACCGGAACTTGAACCCGGAAGGAAGCCCGTTTACCCGACTTCTGAAAGTGGGTGTGGCTGCTTTCCGTAAGAGGAAGATATCGAAAGTGCCTAACTCTAATATGTTATACCAAAATCATGAACTTGATGCTGATATTGCTTTGGGAGGAATGCTGCTTCATTCTGAACAGTTCAAGTTAGTACATTCATTCATTTTTTATTTTCTTTCTCTTTATATATAAAAATATTATATTTGATTATATTTAATATTTAAATATAATCTAAGTTGTATAGACTCAAACTTATTTAGGATTGTATATAAATAATCATAGTTTGTTACATTATTTGTAACAATTCAATAATATAAATTCTTATTTCCTTTATTATTTCTTCTTTCTCTCCTCACTAAAAGTGCTTCACGCACTAACAAATTGGTATCCATAGTTTTCGCTTATTGTTCTTGATCGAGTTCTCAAGAATTTTACGTCAGAGATCGTGTTTCTAGGACAAGTGAATCAACCGTAGCGAAGATGGCTAGTGATAAGGGCATTCTGAATTCTCTTCCAATGCTTGACGGTAAGAATTGGATTTGATGGAAAAAATAGATGCAATCCTTGTTTGTCTTCAATGAAATCTTATAAGTGGTTACCAACGGCGTTCCTGCGTTGGTTGCAAATGCAACCGACAAACAGAAGAAAAAAACCACAACGAAGTTAAAAAGAAAGATTGCAAGGCTACTTATTGCATTCAGACGGTGATCGATGCTGCTAATTTCGATAGAATCTCTCATGCTGAAACGACGAAGGAGGCATGGGATATTATGATGAAGTATTACGAAGGAGGTGAGAAAGTCAAGGTTGTCAAGTTACTAACCTTGAGTCGATAATATGAGTTGTTGTCGATGGGAGAAGATGAAAAGTTGCAGAATATGTGTCGAAGGTTCAAAAGCTCATCCATCTCTTGAAGGGTTGTGGTGAAACCATAACTGATAAGATGATAGTTGAGAAGGTAATGAGAATGTTGACCTCTCACTTTGATCACGTTATCGTAGCTATTCACTAATTCAACAATCTTGAAACCACTAAAGTGGAAGATTTGGTTGATTCGTTAGAGGCGCATGAGATGAGGATAGTCTAAAGGAAAGGAGTTCGGGAATCGATACAGACGCTGCAAGTTTAGTCATGGAAAAAGGACGGTGGTTCCAACAAATTCAAAGGCAAGTTCGACAAGACTCGGGGAAAGAAGTCTTGGTTGAAATATCACAAGCATCGGGTCGAAGATGAAACTTCTAAATCCTCGAAAGGAGGAGGGGGAAACTATCGAAAGGGAAAAGAAGATAAAAAAGGTGTGCAATGCTATAACTGTGAAAAGTGGGGTCACGTAGCCAAGAATTGTTGGTATAGAAAAGACAAGGGATCAACAGGAAAGGACGAAGGAACGAACTTTGTACGCCAAGATTCAGATGATTCTGAAGGTGATATGGTGGTTATGGCCGCAGTTGCAGATAACCATGTCGAATCTAAGATCTGGTTTCTCGACTCAGGCTACTCGAATCACATGATTGGTCGAAATGAGTGGTTGGCAGATTTTGACGAGTCGAAGAAGAGTAAGGTAAAACTTGCTGATAATAGTTCGTTGCAAGCAGAAGGTACTGACAATATAATCTTTCAAATGAGTAATGGAGGGAAAGTTATGATTAAATATGTACTCTATGTACCTGGAATGAAGTGCAACTTGCTAAGTATTGGACAACTAGTCGAAAAAGGTTTCTCAATTGTCATGAAAGATGGAGTTTTGAAATTGTTTGACACCAAGAACAATTTGGTCTTAGAATCTCCGTTGTCGAAGAACATGACATTTAAGACTATGATCAGTTCGGTAGAAGTTCAATGTTTGAAAACTGTTGTCGACCACAAGGATAGTTGGTTGTGGCATTTGAGGTTTGGACATTTGAACTTTCGATCACTCAATCAACTGATTACTCAAGATATGGTTACTGGAATTCCAAGTCTTGAGATACCTGAAAAACTTTGTGAGGTTTGTTTAGTAGGAAAGCAATCCAGAAATTCTTTCGTGTCGACAATGTCAATGAGATCATCTTGCATACTCGAAGTGGTACATTCAGATGTATGTGGTCCATTCGAAGAACATATAATTGGTGGAAACAAATATTTTGTTTCGTTTGTCGGTGAGTTTAGTCGAAAGTTATGGATCTATGTGATCAAACGAAAGGACGAAATATTCAAAATATTTAAGAGATTCAAGATACTTGTCGAAAACCAGAGTGAGAAGAAAATCAAAGTTCTGCGAACAGATGGAGGTGGCGAATACACATCCAAGATGTTTGACGATGTCTATGCAGAACATGGTGTTGATCATGAGGTAACTGCTCCTTATACACCTCAACATAATAGAATTGCTGAAAGAAGAAACATAACCATATTAGATATGACGAGATGCATGCTGAAGTAAAAGAATTTTCCAAAGTCTTTATAGGGAGAAGTTATTTCGTCTGCAGTTTATATTTTGAATAGGTGTCCTACCAAGATATTAAAGAACAAAGTTCCTGAAGAAGTATGAAGTGGAAAATGACCATTAGTGAGTTATTTGAAGGTGTTTCTCTCTGTGTGTTACAAGCATGTTCGTGATGTAAGAAGAAGGAAGCTTGGTGACAAGAATGAACCTATGATTCTGGTAGGATATCATAAAAATGGTGATACAAGCTATTCAATCCAGTTAATGAGAAGATTGTGTTGAGTCGAGATATTGTGATTAATGAAAATTATGCCCGGGATTAGAATTCTAGCAATTCAATTAATAAGCCATTGATGAGTTCGACTGTCGATGAAGAAACTGATTAAGTTAGAGGTCGAAGGAATTGTTGAGAATCCAGTCGAAGTCGAAGAAGAAGCAGTTACTGACATTCCCGACACAGTCGAAGAAGTCGAAGAGGCTGTGGCTGAAACAAGCCAAAGACCTCAAAGAAATAGAATTCTTCCAACAAGGCTTCATGATTATGATGTGGTGGATGATGATGAAGTCACACCAGATGGAGAATTAATTGATTTTGCTTTACTTGAAGGTGTTGAACCAATTAACTATAGCAAAGCTTTGAAGACTAAACAGTGGAAGTTAGCTATGATCGAAGAGTTACAGGCAATCGAAGAAACAACACGTGGGAGTTAGTCGAATTTTCCAGCACATTCGAAAGCTATCGAAATAAAGTGGGTGTTTAAGTTGAAACACAATGCAGATGAGTCGATAGCAAGACATAAATCAAGGTTAGTAGCTCGAGGGTTTATTCAAAGAGAAGGACTATACTACTCTAAAGTATTTGCTTCAGTAGTAAGATTGGAGACTGTTTGACTAGTGGTAGCATTGGCATGCAACCAAGGCTTGTCCACATTACATTTAGATGTAAAATCAGCATTTCTGAATGGTCCTTTAGACGAAGAGGTCTATGTCACACAACCTCCAGGGTTTGTGATTCAGAAGGAAGCGAGTAAAGTATATAAGTTGCACAAAGCGCTTATGGCCTCAAGCAGGCACCTAGGGTATGGAACAGAAGATCGACGCATACTTAGTCAAATTGGGATTTTTCAAATGCAAATATGAGTATGGTATGTATGTTCAGGTTGTAGCACATGATATAACAATCATATGGTTATATGTCGATGACTTGCTAGTGACTGGAAATAGCTTGGAGAACTTGTCGAAGTTCAAAGAGTTGATGATGAAGGAATTTGAAATGTCTGATCTGGGAAAATTGTCTTATTTCTTAGGTATATAATTTCAAATGTCAAAGTAAGGTATCATGCTACAACAAAGGAAGTATGTCAAAGAAATACTCAAAAGATTCAGAATGGATGATTCAAATCCTGCATCCTCACCTGTTGAACCAAATGTAAAATTGGAGAAGAATGTAGAGGAAGACAAAGTCGACGTAACTTTGTTCAAGCAAATTGTGGGATCTCTGAGGTATGTGTGCAACAGTCGACCTGATATAGGTTTCACTGCGGGATTAGAAAGCAAATATATGAGTGAACCAAGAGTGTCACATATGAAGTCTACAAGAAGAATCCTGAGATATTTGAAGGGTTTGATAAACTGTGGAATACTATTTCGAGGAGATTCTGAAGACAAAGAAGTAATAGTTAATTATTTTTCAGATGTTGATTGGTGTGGAGATAAGAAAGATCGAAGAAGCACAACTAGATATTTCTTTCAAGTATTTGGTGCCCCAATTTCATGGTGTTCGAAGAAATAACTTGTGGTGGCATTATCATCTTGTGAAGCTGAATATATAGCAGGATCATATGCTGCATGTCAAGCAATTCAAATCAAGTATGTACTGAAAGAAATAAAGGTTAAAGTGAAGAAACCTCTTGTATTGCAAATCGACAACAAGTCAGCCATAAATCTGGCGAAGAATCCAGTTCTGCATGGAAGAAGTAAATATATTGAAGCAATATTTCACTTCTTGAGGGAAAAGGTGAATCGAAGTGAACTTGAAGTTAGTCATTGCCTCAAGTGAAGCACAGTTGACCCGACATTTTCATCAAAGGATTGAAAATCGACAGATTCCTGAATTTGAGAAAGAAATTATGAATAGTTCGAATTGACTATTTTTTAGGATTTTCGACAACTTGGATTATAAGGGTGTGTTGAAATATTAAATTAGATTTGTTAAAATATTAGATTAGATTAGATTTGATTAGATTTAATATATTAGTCCTAGTATATATCATTATTCGTAACAATTCAATAATATAATATTTATTTTTCTTTATTATTTCCTCTTTCTCTCCTCATTAAAAGTGTCTCACGCACTAACACAATTTACACACAGCACTGCTATCTTATGTATTCTTTCATTCTGATGTGACTGTCTCAATTATTGAATTAATAATGACTCCAATTCATTCATTCTGTACGACCCAGATTTTATACACCCGACATATATTTATTTTTTTTAAACTTATACTTTATGCCTACTTTTTAAAATTTATAATATTATTTTTAAAATCTCTATATTATATATAAATAAAAAATTTTACAAAAATAAAAGACAAATGAGCAACAATTTGCTATTTATTTTTAATGACAAAAGTAATCCTCTTAAAAATTATGTGTTTTTGGACTTTCCGGAAAAGATTCAAACATTTTGGTGTTAGAAAGTAAAAACCGGCGAAGATAAATAGTATAGAAGTATGTTCATGGATCATTTTTTCTCATATTTTACCACTTTAATTGAAGAGACTATGAAGGTTATTTGTTCCATAATATAACCTCCAATCCTAAATCTCATCAATGGAGAAACCTCAGTCAAGTCCTCACATGCATGTTTTCCACCTAAACAATAGTATATCCGAATATTTTTTAACCTAAGTGTCGATCTCCTCTTTAGTAGGTTAGTTAAAAAATTCACATGTGTATTTTTCTTCTCAAATACTTTTCCCTGCCGAAATTTATCAAATATGACATCCTTAACATGGTTACGTCACATTAGAAGCTTGAAAGTTTCTTAACTTGTTCGTAGATATATACAAGCACGTCTTGCAAAAACACATTAAGCATCATCGTTAAGAAATAAGAGAATCATAAAACAATATCTAAAGATAGTATGATACTGTATAGATAGGAGTGGCAAAACGGGCAGCTTGTTGGGCATATCGTTGTTTTACCCGCACTTTAATGCGGAACAGACTAAGAGTTTATGTTTGCACCCCTCTAATATTTCTGTCTCGCCCTGTCCTATTCTTTTGTGGATGTTTTCAATCACAGACATTAACATAAATTTCCAAGCTTAAAAGTTACAGTGTTTGTGGTCCGCCTTACTATGTCCTCACTTTTAATATATGACGAATCATAATTTTAGGTCCGCACTCTCAACTATGTCCGTCGCCCCAACCTGTGTTTTTGTAAATTTTTATAGGACAGATCTAAACTAGACAGACATATTTGTTTGTCACCATTATCTACCGATGACATATGTTAGTTTAGGTCATCAATAAAAACAATAAAGAAAAAGTCTCAAACATATGTCATTTGCAAACAACCAAAAACTCATTTTTGTCATATGGTCATAATAAAAACATGTTCGAACACTATTATTTAAAAAGACATTAGCCAAAATATGTTAAGTTCTAAGAGGGTCGATGCTGCTACTAAATCAGCTAATATCTAAATCTAAAATCCTTGTACTAAATTCCTAGTACTAAAATCATTCAAAACTCAATCAAAATTAGAGTCCTATTCCATTTAACAAATAATGAAATCAATTTTATTTGTTTATTTTAAATAATCTTTTGTTAAATAAACTAGAGTCGACATGTTTTTGGTTTTTTTTGCACAAAGAGTCAACATGTTTCAATTTGATCATAATATTGATATTATATAAGAAAAATAATAACTTAATATTTTAAAAAACAAAATTCTATA